TATGAAATAATGATGAAATAATGAAAGATATTGAAATAATGGTGAGATAATTGAAAGATATTGAAATAATGATGAAATAATTGAAAGATATTGAAATAATGATGAAATAATTGAAAGATATTGAAATAATGCTGAGATAATTGAAAGATTGAAATAATGATGAAATACTAGAAAAATATTGAAATAATGATGAAAGAATTGAAAGATATTGAAATAATAATGAGATAATTGAAAGATATTGAAATAATGGAAATAATTAAAAGATTGAAATAATGGAAATAATTGAAAGATATTGAAATAATGTGAAATAATTGAAAGATATTGAAATAAGAAATAATTGAAAGATATTGAAATAATGATGAAATAATTGAAAGATATTTTAATAATGCTGAGATAATTGAAAGATATTGAAATAATGATGAAATAATTGAAAGATATTGAAATAATAATGAGATAATTGAAAGATATTGAAATAATGGTGAAATAATTGAAAGATATTGAAATAATGGTGAAATAATTAAAAAGTTATTGTAATAATGGTGAAATAATTGAAAGATATTGAAATAATGGTGAAATAATTGAAAGATATTGAAATAATGAAATAATTGAAAGATATTGAAATAATGATGAAATAATTGAAAGATATTGAAATAATGATGAAATAATTGAAAGATATTGAAATAATGGTGAAATAATTGAAAGATATTGAAATAATGGTGAAATAATTGAAAGATATTGAAATAACGATGAAATAATTGAAAGATATTGAAATAATGGTGAAATAATTGAAAGATATTGAAATAATGGTGAAAGAATTGAAAGATATTGAAATAATGATGAAATAATTAAAAAGATATCGTAATAATGTTGAAATAATTGAAAGATATTGTAATAATGTTGAAATAATTGAAAGATATTGTAATAATGGTGAAATAATTGAAAGATATTGTAATAATGTTGAATTGATTGAAAGATATTAAAATAATTGTAAAATAATAGAAAGATATTGAAATAATGGTGAAATAATTAAATGATATTGACATAATTCTATTTTGGCGGTGATAGCACCCCATAATCTGTATCTGCGTCTCATGCATCACATTTGGATAATTGCCTTGAATTTGACCATGAGAGCCAGATTTCTACTTATTTGTGAGGTATACATTATTTTACATTCGCTATGCCTGGTCTGTTGTATTTATGCACTCATAGTATTCTTTCGTTCAAACTATTAAACGAAAAAGTTTCTGGAAATTGTCAAGCCATAACATTCAAGAGCTTTTTTTTGGCAGATATTCTGAGCTTGGGGTTAAAAACACGGATAATTTCTTAATATGTAGAACTCTGGTTTCTCTCAGAAACTATTTGATAAACTATGTTATACAAAAAAAGTATGTGGCCTAGGATGTGCTCAGTATTTTCTAAACAACTTCACCTTCTTTGAGATCCGTGTATTTTTCTCCTCTTTCTCTGATTTGACTAGCTAGAGTGGTGTGCTTGTTTTGTTTTGCTCTAGTGGAATGTTTTATGATTTTTGTTCGTGTTCTTAAATTTCCCTGTTATGACTTTTGTTCTCAGATCTGCATGGGCATGTAAGTTTAATTTATTAAACAAGACAATGGAATGTAATCAATACAAATAATTGAATTATTATCCTATTCGGATTTTATTTCCCCTTTGTTTCTTTAATAACTGTAGACATTGTATTACCTTAACTAGAATAGGAAATTTAGGGTCATTACAATGAATTTATTCTGTATATATATATCCTGTTTTATTGTGCAATTTGCATTTCAGGCATTAAGCAAAGGGTGTTTTTTTGCTTGGCCCGTGAAAGTATGTCTATCTCGCTATTATGAATAATATTATACTTTCTCTTTAGTAACTGTTTGCTATTGGCTCCATGTTAGTGCCCGTTGAAGTAACTGTTAAGTAAATATAGCGAGTGAGTTGACTCACTACAAGGGCAGTACAGTATTGAACACATACATTGGGTGTTAGTGTTTAATTGTTGCGTATCCGCCAACTATGTTGTCAATGTCGGAGTTAGCTGTACACGAATTCATCATGTCAAAATTCTATTTGATGGTTCTGATGGTTTCTTTTCTTTCTACATTTATTTGCCAGGATGTTTTCCCTAGATCTAGACCTACATATCGATCACAAGTAAGCTCAAGTAAGTATATTATTCATGAACTATAAAACTGTGACACGTGAAATTTGAACATTGTATCATTGTCTATATGAATGCTCTTAATTAATATCCCTTTGGAAAATTTTAATTTAATATTAAAAAAATGTACACATATTGTACTTTGTTGATAAATTGAATGTGCTTAAATGTTTTTCCTGAAATTTTAGTCATTAAATCGCGTGAATTATAGAATGACGAGTTGAAGCATGAAGTTCAACATCAGAAATGTGAATTTTGAATATTTCTCAGTATTCAACATTGGAAGAATGGCAATAATCTCCCGGTAGTCACATGAATTAAATGCCATAATTTTATCTGCAGCATTTTTAGATACTTTTCTATACTTTCTTAGTAATTTTGGATCAAATAGCATAATTTTCCATTTGCTGCACTTCTTGATCAAACGTTTTGAAAAAAAAATATAATATATAAAATAAAAATATAAAAAACATTATGCGCTTTTATTTTTCACAAACAGTTGTCAGTTGGCATTTAAAAAGAACAATTCTGAGTATACTGAAACAAAACCATACTATATGTAACATGTATTCATCGATAAGGAGTATTTTATATGTAACTATGGTGACAGTTTCCTATTATCCCTTTGTACGCTATAATTGTTGTCACATATTGCCTGCACATTATTACCCAAATGGACACCACTTTCTATTGTCTACGGGTCTTGATCCAAATGTTGGAAAATGTGAAAAAGTATTATGACTCGTATTTGGTGAAGTTAATGTAAAAATACATATGACTGGTAGAATAATTATGACAACATTTTAAAGTGAGAATTCTCCAGTAAAACTGACGTAATGTGTTGAGTTGACACATTCATTCGTGTTTCACTTCTCACCTTGTTTACTTTTCATAGCAATAATCTGTCCACCAAGAAATGATTTCTATGCCATTTCGTACAAATGCGGCGTGAGCTGTGCTGCCAATGAAGAATGTATTAGCGGTGAAATGTGTCTGTGTGATGGATTTTGTGGATTGAGTTGCTTACCTACAGGTTAGTATCATTACAGTGTTTTCATATTTCATAATTTGTACTAATCGCATTTTACTTGCATTAATGCTGTAACTTATACCATAATAATTGTGGAAATTCAGGTAAAAAAAAACTTTTTTCTAATGATTCATCAAGTCACCATCTTTCTAAAAAAGAATAACTATATCAGAATACTAGTAATAGTTACTCCAAATTCTCGTACATATTTGTGTAATATTCAATTAAGGTAGCGGGACTATTATTTGCATACTTGTTTTCATCTTCTAATTGTGACTAAATGACTACAAATAGACCCGGGAAAGTATATATTTTTAGAATCGCCAGACTTCAAGCTTTTCACAAGTGTATTTTGCATGCCGGTATCTGCATTCTACGACGCGTTACTCAATCAAAGGTGAAAAATTACTTTTTCTGTAAAAAAAATAATTACGCATTTATGCTGGCGATAAGAAGTATTTTTTTCACTTTTCCTAGTTGTTCAATAGACTGGTAAATTGAATGTGTCTGGTCAGTTTTATTCAAGCA